TGATTTGAACATTAATCTTAATGCAATGTGGTTTGAGGCCAGGCTGATAAGACCCAGGGACAGTCAGTTAGAATGTAATGTGACAGAGATGCCACGTGGTTCAGAGGGGCACAGAAGAGAGAGGGTGCCGCCCTACATTGGTGGAGGATCTATAGAGATGCCAGGGAGGAGTGAGGTGGAGGTGACCAGTGGGCAGGATGGGAGGCTGGGTCACAGCATGGAGCAGCTGAGGGCCAGGGACACCTGTTGGCACAGAGGGAGCTTGGAGCAGACTGAAAGGGAATGGGAGACGGAGAAGTGGACAAAGGGCCTTTGTACCGTCCTGAGGAACAGGATGAAAATGAGGACTGTACCTTATGCTTCTTTGCCCTAGTGTCTCCCTCTTCAGATTTCAAGCAGGATTCCTAACATATCAAGAAGCATTTAGCAATCTTCCTAATAAATCCACACCACTGAAGAGAATTAAGCAGGTGAGTCTGTCAGGTTACAAACCTTCCTCTGGCTACACCCAGAGACTGGCTGACAAGGAGAGAGGGTGGGACAGGGGATTAGGGAACAGGGAGGCCATAGAAACAAAAGGCCATGGGAACAGGGGGTCCTTGGGGACAGGGAAGTCATGGGGACAGGACGCCATGGTGACCAGGGGCCATGGGGACAGGAGGCCATAGTGACCAGGGGCCACAGGGACAGGAAGTCATGGGGAAAGGAGGCCATGGGGACAGGGGCATCAGGCACAGGAGGCCGTGGTGACCAGGGGCCATGGGGACAGTAGGTCATAGGAAAGGAGGTCATGGGGACAGGAGGCCATGAGGACAGGGGGGTCATGGGGACATGGCTCATGCCTGGTTGGTGCAGACCAGAGGGGTGCTGATTGAATTGTATTTACTGGAGATAAGCTGTGGGATCCGTATCTGTTGAGATGGTTGGGCATGAGAGTGAGGGAGGACTCTAGGCTGCCCCCAGTTTCTAGTAGGAATGATTTGGACACAGTTCAGAGGGACAGCAACCAGAAAGAGGATGAGGATTCTGCCGGAAGGGGATAGAATGACCTGGAGCATGTTGAGTTTGGTGTCAGAGGAGATTGTGCTGCAATTGTCTGCAGAAAGGCTCAGCAAATGTTAGAAGTTGGTGCACAAGCAAAAAGCAATGGGGCAGTCCCACAGCAAGATGTACCATGTGACAGAGAAAAAGTGCTAGGACAGGACTCTTGGAAGCACAACCCTGAGGAGCAGCTGTGAGGCCACCAACCTACAGGGGGAGAACAGAAAGGCCTGGGGTGGGAGAGGCGGCAGGAGAGCCTGGAGCTCAGAAGCCAGATAATTTCAAGGAGCAAATGCCCACTGCAGCACAGAACGATAGAAATAAAATGCAAGTCGCCAGTGTTCTAGTAGCCACCCTAAAAAGAAAACCAAAACATGAAATCCATTTTAATAATATATTTTGTTCAACCCAATATAGCCAAAATGCTGTGATTTCAAAATGTAATGAAGATCTTAAAGATCAAGATATTTTACATTCTTTTTCTGGAACCAAATCTTGGAAACCCGGTATCACATTTTACACTTATAGCACATCTCAATTCAGACACCAAATTTTCATCAGAAATGCTTGATCTGTATTTAGAGTTTATACAATTTACAGTTGAAAAACTACATTCACAGATGCAAGTGGTTCCAATTGTACTTAAAAGTTTTTCAACAACTGAATAAAGTATCTGTTTTTAAGTGTAAAATAATTAAAAATTCTGTTCGTTGTACAAATGTACAAATTCCTACATTTGTAGTGTTCTGTAGCCCTCTGCACAGTTACTGAACAGGGCAGTTCCACAGCCTCAAATGAGGCCTCTGGGCTTGACCATGGTGGGATGCTGGGGTCTAGAGCACTGATGGGGGCACAGCCTGACAGTGGGGGGGTTACAGGTTGAGGAGAAGTGGAGAAAATGTCAACAATGTAAATCTCCTGGATACTGACTTTGTAACGAAAGAGATAATAAGGTAGCCACAGGGGACCCCGAATCACAGGAGGTTTATTTTTTTCTAAGACAGGAGAGTGAGACAGAGATTGAAATACGGGTGAATGACTGATGCAGCCTTTGGGGCCTTTATTTGTCCGAAAGCCCTGCTGAGACCAGCATGCGATCATGACAGTGATAACAACAAAGTTCTGAGTGCTTTCTGTGCATTGCCTATCCTTACTTTATGTGTTGCCTCATTTAATCAACATGTAGCCGTGGAAGGGTAGGTTTTGCTTTTAGAAGAAAAGTAGAGACTGGAGAGATCACTGTGCAGCCACGATTGGACGGACACATCACCCAGTCAGAGCGCAAGCCCTGAGGAGGGTTTGGATGCTGGTGCTGGGGTCCTGGGAGTGACAGGAAAGCCATCCCAGTGACGTGTGCACTGCAGCTTCGCTTTCGATTTATCATGTGCATAGCTGATATGACGCAGCTTCTGACACAGGAGCGACGTGGGAGCACAGGAGGAAGGGGGGAGTCACACCCCCGGGGGTGGATTCCAGAGCCTCGAAGGGTGTCGCCTGAGAGGAGCATTTGAAGACCACAGTAGGGGTGAGGAATCACTTCTACAATCCTCTTATTTGTCCACCATGACCAAGTCCCGTGCAAAATCCCGTGACAGACCTTCTGGTGGATGACTAGAAATCATAAGGAAAACCTGCTTCCAAACCAGCCCTGCAGGGAAACAGCTGCTCACACATGCAGAAAACATGTCTAACCCACTTCAAAGACTCTGTGCGTGTCTAACCACCAAAAGGAAAGAATTCGGAAAGGAAAGCCATCCATAAGTTTTTGGGGGAAGACAGGTTCAGCGTTTTTGATTGCTCTGTTGAAAGGTAGAACTTTCTGCCCCCTTTTTTCTTTTGCTGATCTGGAGCCAATAAAGCTATTGACATAATTTTTTTTTTAAGCTGAGTCCTAGAAATGTGTTAGAAAAAACAGTGTGTCCATCTGGAATAGCAATTTTGGTACATGAGAGACAGTGACTTCACCTGACTTGGAGAATTCCACTGCCAGCCAGTTCCCAAAGATTCTGCAAGAGAAGAGGTGCTGGAGGAGGAGCTGGGCCGTAGCGCCAGTTACCCAAGGAGGATCCCACGTGAAAAGATTGATCCAAGGTTCACTGCTTCATAGGATCAGATTGGTTCATTCTCTTTTTCTTTTTCTTTTTTTTTTTGAGGCAGAGTCTCACTGTGTCGTCCAGCCTGGAGTGCAGTGGGGCGATCTCGGCTCAATGCAACCTCTGCCTCCTGGGTTCAAACGATTCTCCTGCCTGAGCCTCCCAAGTAGCTCGGATTACAGGCACCCACCACACCTGGCTAATTTTTGTATTTTTTTTTTAGTAGAGTTGGGATTTCACCATGTTGATCAGGCTGGTCTCGGACTCCTGACCTCAAGAGATCCACCCACCTCGGCCTCCCAAAGTGCTGGGTGTGAGCCACCACGCCTGGCCTCGGGCTGGTTCATTCTCATGGAGAGGATTGGCTCAGGGGATCAGTGATGTCTGGTCATATGAAGACAGTAATAAGACTCCACAATGACAGCTAATATTTATATTAGGTCGGTGCAAAAGTAATTAGGTTTTTGCCATTGAAAGTGATGGCAAAAACCTGATTACTTTTGCACCAACCTAATACCGTGCACTTGCCTGGTACCAAGCGAAGTTCTGAATGCTTTATATATTTTCCTATTTAAATTCCTTTAAACTTCATAGCTACCCTTGCAAATAAGGAAACTGAGTCCCAGAAAGGTGAAGTAACTTGCCAAATGTCACATAGCTAGTAAGGTGCAGAGCCAGAATTTGAACCTAGGCTCTGAGTCGGCCAAAGTACCTGCTAACCCCATGTTTTATCTCAACTCAGATGTCCTCTAAGATTGTTCTTGCGCTTAAATCCCTGTGGGCCCAGTGAAAAAGGAACTGACACAATTATGGAAAAGTTGCTCAGATTTTCCAAGCTAAAATTTCACCCAGATTATCCTAATGTATATATACCTGCCATTTTAGGGGTCAGGACTTTACTAAAATAGGACTGGATATTTCCCTAACTTACATTTAAATGACGTTTTTTCTGCTACCATTTCCAAAGACAGTAGAGTGTGGTTTATTGATCATGAGTCAGAGCTATCCCAGAGCATGAGGAAATAATGTGGTTTTTTTATTAGCTGGGTTCCTGATGAAGGTCCTAGCTGCTTCCAAGAGGAGCCAGGGGAAGAAGTGCTTGTTGGCAACATCATAAAGTTTGTGAGTCCAGCAGAAGGCTGAGAGCGGCGGCAATGGGCCCGTGGGGACTTCAGGTGTTATCCACATCTGTGGTCAGGCACCTGTCGTCCTTGAAGAAATAAGTGACCTAACATGTCGTTTACACCGGAGCAGGGGCCGTTGCAAAGAATGATGAAAGAAGCTGCACTTGAGCTTCGGGAAACTGAAGAGCCCACTGCAAAATCCCTCTTTGGATCAGTCAGCTTTCTGAACTCCAGATGGCAAATCCCATTAAATAAACACACCAGAAAGCCTGGAACAGTCTAGAGCTACATCACATGTCAGAGTAAGTGACACCCACCTCCTGCTTGATGTCCCGAAGCCGCAGAACTGAGCCAGCCTGACACCCAGGAGTCCAAAAGGAAAGAACCAGCTCCTGCTCCCGGATAACAGTCGCCTGGACCTGAGGTCTTCCCCACTAGTGAGAAACCTGACAGGGACCCCAGCTGGGCTGCTGGGGTTTGAGATTGATAGCAAATCCCAAATGTGCCTGCTTCTTAGAGTTCTGTGCACTTCTCAGCTTCTTCGTAACCATAGCCAGTCCCGAGTCATGTCCTTGTTCCTAGAGCTTTAGCCGCAAGTCCCAGCTATAGGAGAACGGAAATCTTGAAACTTGCTGAGATGCCTCCTTGAGTTTCATGGGGGGCAACCCAGCTTGCAATGGCAGGACTATAAAAATGAGGTAGAGAAAGGAAGTGGTATTTATCAAGTACACACTATGAGCCAAGTTTTTTTTCAGGCATGATCCCATTTAATCGTTAAAACCTTATAAGGCAGTGTTATTATCCCTGTGTACAGATTAGGAACAAAAACACAGAACAAAGCAGCGCAGCTTCAAGCTGTAAAGTGGTAACCTGAACCCAGCCTGCTTGACTCCCAAGCCTGATTCCAAAAACTGTTGATATCATTGATAGCAAATCCTAGAACCTGAGAGCTGGGAGAGGTGTCAGAGATGGTGTGACCTAACCCTTCAGACTCAGGGGGAAGAAGCAGGGTCCCAAGAGCTAAAGCCACGTGTCCAAAGCCACCGTGACATTGGTTCGCTGTGTTAGCACGCTGCTGTGAAAGTTGGTAAATTAAAACATCGCCCGTACATTGGTCACAGTTTCCGTGGGTCAGAAGTCCAGCCACAGGGTGGCTCAGTCGGCTCTTTGCTTAGGGTCCCACAAGGTCAAAATCAAGGTGTTGGCAGGGCTGTGTCCCTTTCTGGGGGCTCCAGGAAGGATTCCACTTCCAAGCTCACTTATGTAGTTGGGAGAATTCACATCCTGATAGCTACAGGGTATAAGTCCCAATTTCTCCACTGGTTCCAGGCCTTTTCAAGCTCCTTGGGGCCACCTACATTCCTGGACTCAGTGACCCTCCCTCTGCAAGCCCCCAGCAGCCCATGGAGCCTTCTCACTTTTCCATCCCTCCCACCTCTCCTTCAGCCCCACCTCTCGGACGCCAGTGAAGAGAGGTCTTTGCTTTTGAGGGCACGTGTGATTTAGCTGGGCCTGCCCAGAGAGTTCCAGATGATCTCTCTATTGTGAGGTCCATACTTTTCATCACCAGATAGTTCCAGATGATCTCTCTATCGTGAGGTCCATACCTTTCATCACATCTGTAAAGCCCTCTTCCCACGCGACGGAACATAGTCACAGTTTCCAGGGGTGAGAGCCCGAACATCTTTGGGGGACCATTCTGCTGACCACATGGTAGCTTTAACCAAGGCTAGAGGAGAGGGTTATAAAAGCAGAATGAAAGTGGTAAGTCACACAAATCAGGCACGGCCTGTGTCAGGAATCTCACAGCTTCCAGCTAGAGGCTGTATCAGCCACGGGGACGTTTTTTTCCTATTCCCCGCCACTCCTGCAGGGCAAGGGAGAACCATGGCCCACTTGGCTTTTCTGGGCGCTCCAGGCCTGTTTGGGGAGCATGCCTGAGCCCCTTTGTGAGGCCATCTGCTGATCCGCAGAACATCAACAGACGGATGTGCAAAAGTAAATACCAAAAGCTTATTGCAAAATATTCATTCATATGTTAATTTATTCAGTTATTCGGTAAACATTTATGGAGAGCCTACTGCAAGCAGGCAATGTGAAAAAGGTCTGTGGATTTGCAACAACTTTGAATTATTCATAAGGCAGCTTCCTTGCCTGGTATGAATAACTGAATTGACCACATTTGGGCCTTTGTAAAAATCAGCATTCACACGGTCCGTTTACACTGCAGATCCCAGCATTCACACGGTCCGTTTATACTGCAGATCTCTCCAGGGCAGGGCTGGGGCTGGTGGCAAAGTGGCCAGCCCTGCTTCTCAGGGGGATGGAGGTCGGTACTAGAGATGACCCACCCCTACAAACAAGGCTCAGGGGACCTGCAGTTGTTGTTATCATGCATTCAGGGCCCCGTGTCCTGTCGCCGTCAAAGCAGGGGAGTCTCAGGAAAACAACTGCCAAGCATGACACGTGCCAGGCTCCCTCGGTGAGGCCAGCAAGGATGTTCTTGGGGCAAATGTAGTGGACCCTCAGTTCCTACCCCACCAGAGCTCTTGGCTTCCATAGTTCAGAGCCAGACAGCACCGCCAGAGCATCAGCTCCTCTCCAGACCGACTGACATGCAAAAATCTGAAATGATCCCAACAACAACTGATGGAGTGTTCGCTTTTCAAAAGGACCCGGCATTCACTAGCAAGCATCTTCGAATAGCAGGCTTTCTTTCAATGTGGGTCCATCATTTAGTGACCGATTCAGACATTTTTTTAAGACCGAGTCTCGCTCTGTCTTCAGGCTGACTCTCAGGCTGGAGTGCAGTGCGTCATCTTGACTCACTGCAGCCTCCACCTCCTGGGTTCAAGCAATTCTCCTGCCTCAGCCTCCCAAGTAGCTGGAACTACAAGTGCACACCACCATGCCCAGCTCATTTTTTTGTATTTTTAATAGAGATGGGGTTTCACCATCTTGTCCAGGCTGGTCTCAAACTCCTGACCTCAAACAATCCACCCGCCTCGGCCTCCCAAAGTGCTGGGATTTGATTCAGACTTTTAAAACTGAAAGAGGCTTCGCAGTCCAAACTTTTCACTTTAAAACAAGAAAAACAAGCCTCAAAGAGGCAGCGGGTCTTGCCCAGGATCACAGCCAGCTGGTGCCAGCAGGACTCGAACTCAGAACCTCTGAGCACTGCCCTCTCCCATCTCTCCACCCTGCCTCCTACAGCAATGCTTACAGAACGCAGTTTATAAAAGGATAAGCACATGCGCCGGGTGTAGCACATCCCGAGCTACGGCCAATACACCCACCACTTCACACAGCACGAGGACACTGGCTGAGAGCTGAAGAGCGGGGTTCTCATCCAATTCTACGGTGCAAATTGTGTGACCTCAGGTAAGTTGTTCAGCTTCTCTGGATCTCATTTCCCTCATATGTGAAATGAGCCTTGACCAACTGGCATTTAAAGCCCTTCCCATCTCCAGCATCCATGACTCAATGCAGGAGGCCATGCGGGGTTAGCCGCATGCCAGGAGCACAGCAGGAATGTGGAAGGGCTTGGCCTGAGAGATGCTGCTTTGGTGTGTGTGGTGCAAGGCGTGAGGCTGGAGTAGGGTCTGCAGAGTCGGAGTACAGGAGCACTGGCAGGTGAGGAAACCCCCCTTCCCAGTCTCCAGAGGCTCGCTGTGAGAGGCAGAGAGCTGGCAGGGTAGGCGGATCAGATCAAATCGAATCTTGCAGGAAGCAAGGCCCACCCATGCCTCTCACCCCTCCCACTCCGCAGAAATCACCGTCCCAGTGGCTTCTGCAAATGGGACACTGAAGGCCTCTCCAGTCACCACTGTCCCCTGTTACCCTGTGAGCAATGCCTTCCATCCTAGCCAAGGGGGAACGAGGAGGGTGACTGTGTTCTGGGCCATTGCACTGATTTTTTTTTACCTGAGGCAAAAGGCGAGGAGAGCAGAGAGCTGCCTGGAGTCCAGCGGGCCTCAGCTCTGCTTTCCTGGAAGCACCATCCTCCCTCCTCACCCCTCCCCATGACAGAGAGAGCACTGGATGTGCCAGGAGGGCTCTGCACTTGACCTTCACCTCCACCTCAGGAGAAAGAGAAGACAGATATGATTCACATTTTATAAATGAGGAAACAGAGGCTCTGCAAAGTGACCTTGCAGTCCTGCACGCCATCACAGGACAGTTAGGAAGGCGGCAGAGCTTTTGCTGAGAAGACAGTGTGAGGCCATCACAGGACAGTTAGGAAGGCGGCAGAGGCTGCCCTGTGAGAAGACAGTGTGAGGTGTAGAGGTGGTTTCCACGAATGGCAGAGGAGCTCCGCAAGGATGGTAGGAAGACACTCTGTGCCCGGCACAGTGCACAGTGCACAGTGAGAAAACCAGAGACGCCGACAACTCAGTGAGGAAAGCATGTCCGAGACTCGCAAGGCTGACAGAGGAAGGAACGAAGCCCTAGCTGGCTGAAGCTGCACCAAGGGCCCGTCAGTTCAGAGAAGCTCAGGAAGGGAGAAAGCCGGTAAGGGCTCTGTGGCCCCACTTCCCATCTCACTCACCATCATAACACCGTTTGCTTGGCAAAAATAGGTGTGTTAGACCTCAAGATAATAATAAATGTTGTCCAAAGACAGGAAAAAGGAGCCAAATCCCAGATGTTTTCATTCTGTGGGGCAATATTATGGTTTCCACTTTCACATTTGCCCTCTGTGTAGAAAAACAGAGCAGGGAAGGGGGTGCAGACAGGACTTCCCGCTCTCATTTCTTTCCAGCTACTATTGTGGCTTTTATCCTCCGTGGTAGACTTGAAATTCCACCGGCACAGGTGGTTACTCTGATCTCTCCCAGCAAGAGTTAAGCACATAAAAAGGAAACCACCTCTGAAAAGCAGCAAAACTCTCGAGTTAAGAACCAAAATATTTAGAAAGGCAACCTCTCAAAAAATGTTTTAAGCATATTCAACACATTGAAATTCCCATGCCAAGAACAAAGGTGCTCAGCCCAGTGAGAACGTAGAGATTAGCAGGGAACAGGAAGGCGGCCGGTGCTCAGGAGGGAAACAGCTCCGAGACACTCCTGTGCCCGCCTCGTGGAGTCACCGGGGGCTCGGGGCATGCCTGGGCCTTCGTCGTGTCCTAACGACACCCAGAATCGAGGTTTCCCTGTGCACTGTGACGGCGTAGCTCTGAGCATAAGCACAGGCCTGCGGCACAGGTCACATCTGGAGGAACCCAGAGAAGGAGCCCCCTCCCAGGGGAACTGGGTAAGGGTGGGAGGCGCCAGTTTGCAGGTTATCTGGCCCTGGCCTATTATTTTACTGAGAAAGGAGTGATTAGCCTGAGATCACCATGGGGCTTGGTGACAGGGTAGGGACCAGGACTCAGAGCTTTGCACTCCTGGTCCAGAGATGCATCTGCAACTGTCAGCAGAAAAGCTGATGCTCCGCCACTCCCGCTGCAGACCTGGGAGGTTTTCCTCTGTCCCCCACCATTTCCTCCGCGGGTGCCCCTGGCTTCTGTGCTCTCCTCTCTCCACCCGCTCTGCTTCACGTCCGTGGCCTGGGGACAGCTATTTCTGTGGCCTGTGCTAGGCAGGGCGGGCGTGATGTGGGCAGGAGGAGTTATGTAGGGAGCTTGAAAGGAAGAGAGGGGCTGTGAGGCTCCTGGGTCTGGTTGATTCCATGCGTTTGATTAACTGCCGGTCATGCAGTTCCCCACTTAGAGCTGCCCCCAGTGGGCCGTCCCTTCCTGCACGAGGTCATCACTCCCAGAAATGCCATGCCCCTCCCGGGACATCCAGGCTCTGAAGGGGGCCGCCTGTGTGCTCCCTTCCTCGGGGACTCCAGGTGAGCGGTTTGCCCCATGGAGACACAGCCTGGGCCTGGCAGAGGCATCCCGCAGGTGGACCAGCTGGGGTGAGGGCTGCGGAGGCTGCACCTCCCACTTGGATTGTCTCACTGAGTAACTCATGAAGGCAGGATTTTTATTTCTTTTTTTTTTAGTACTCACTGGATTCTAACAAAAACTAGGGAGGAATGACAGTTTTATCAGCATGCAGCTGGAATGTCTGATTGTCAGTTTTAAAAGTCAACACCTATTTACGAGGTGAGGTTTAACCTCTATGGAATTTGTACAGTGTATGGATTTGTAATCCTTGATCCTCAGAAAATACGAATGTCTGTGTGACTTTAGACTACACGGGCAGATGCCGTCTTTTTGATCATCTGGACGTCCATTTAGACAAACTTGAGTGAGTGACTGAGTGAATAAAGTATTTCCAGTTCTGTTTATTTTAATCCACTCTAATCCTAGCTTTTTACAGGATATTACATAAAATTATCTCAAATCATGTCAAAATGAAATTAACTTCAAATCTAATTTTAAAAATAAATGTGATAGAACTTTTTATTGGTAGCAATCCGTAAAATCGACTATGTTAATGGAGTATGTATGTTCATGTCTAACTTCGTATTCTTATCTTTGCGGCTACTTGGTTGAAATTGGGGACCACATCTTTATATCTACAAACTACTCAGAGGTATGGAGAATAAGAATGAGCCGCCCCCTAATGAGTGAACTTCCCTGAGCATCTTCTGGGTGAGACAGGGCTTTCCAAACGACATCCAGGGACACTTCCATTCCGAAAAGCCCTTCCTGCTGCCTGCTGCGGAGACAGGACTCTTTCCTCAGCAGCCTGACTCTGGAGACAGAGTTCCATGGGATGTCAATATGTTTTACTTTAAAAAGTTTTTTAAAATAAGAAAAGTTCTACAGACAAATAAGTTCGGAGAATGCTTGATTCAACAAAGGATATCAGCTTTGTTTACATAAATTGACATACTACCTGGTCAACGCCCATCCCCTCACGATGTCACTTTCAAGAACCTCTGGGTAAACTGAGTTATAGCTCATCTGGCTACAGCTTGGCTGACAGCAGAGCCCCAGATTATCCAAAGCAGTCTTTCCTATGCCAAGGGAGAGGTCAGCTTTGGAATGCAACCTGAGACACGCAGATGTCTGAAACCTCCGGGGCATGATCATTCTCTCTTTCTTTTCCTCCTCTTCCTTCTCTCTCCCTGTCTTTTCACCCCAATCACGAATCCCAACAGCTTGCTCCCTTGGCCTCTCTCTTAGCAACTGAGCATCTAAGTAAACGGTGTGGTTGCAGCAACTGCAGATAAACCAAAACCTAGGTGCTCCTTGCAGAGAAGCATAGAACAATGAAGCATAGGTTTAAACTTGGTTGTAGAGGTTAAGAAATTAAAAGAAAGCTAATTTGCTCACATCAACTTTTAGTCAGGGATTATTGCTCTATGAAGGGGGTGAAAGTGTGTGTGTGTGTGTGTGTGTGTGTGCCTGTGTGTGTGTGTGTGTGTTACATATGCAAACTGCATTAAGATGATTTCAAGCATTCTAATAAAAACTGACAAGACCAATTGGCTAGTTTGGTGTCTCCCAACTTCCCACTGCCTGGCTGTCTTAGTCCAACTCCCACAACCCAAACAACTCCCCCAGGTCCACCTCCAACATCAAGGATCAGATCTCAGTATGAGGTTTTAGGGGTCAAAGATTCAAACTACAGCACTGGCATCCCATCTAGCACCTATGTCCATCTGAGGCTGAACGATCCAGCTGTCATGTGGGTTAACTCCCCAAGCCCCTTGTGTGACTCTCTTCGTAGTCTACAGGTGCTAGACTCTGGAGCAGTGCCCATGGTGCAGAAGTGCAACCCCCAGCCCCAGGTGTTTGCCCCCCGCCCCCAGCTGGCATCTGAGCAGGAGAGGAATCTGGGGTAGGAGGCCTGGTAACTCGGCTTGGAGGTCAGTCTGTCCCCAGGGCTTCTCTCTGGCACACAGGTCTGACATATCAGACCCTCCTCTGCACACGCTGGACAGTTTTTCCATTTGCACTGTTGGTTTTGTTCCCCTTTCTGTGTGCACAATGATAGGCTATCATTTCAGAGCCTGCCAGTGCAGGACAGGGCGGGCTTTCTTGAAGTGTCTTATCTGTTTCTATTGTGAGCCTCCCCTGCTCCCACCCTCTGCCCGTTGCTTAGTGCCAAGCATCCCAGGAAGACCAACCCAGGGCTTCACAGAATGGGTCCGCACCTTGATGCCAGAGCTCTGTGATGACTTCATGCTTTGGAAGACAGCCACCTTATCGTAAACCCCAAAACAACAGATGACACCTCAGGAGCTGGCCTCGCCGAGGCCTGTGCAGCTTCCTGCAAGGTGCTCAACTCACGGGCTTGCCTGCTACTCCGAGGAAGGGGCACTGAGCACGTGCTGCTGCAAGAATTGCCTGGCATCCCCCCCGTCATTCATTCGTTCATTCACGTATTCCTCCACTCAACACAAAACATCCTCTAGATGTTTCCGTATAGCAGATCGTAGAGGGGCAGACGGGGGTAGGTGAGGAGGAAGGGTGATGCTGGAGGAGTACTAAAAACTTTAGAATAGGAAAAAAGTGCTCTCCTCACCCCCCGAGAGCATTAGGACAAATACTGAATGCATTCGGGGCCTAAAACCTAGATGACAGGTTGACAGGTGCAGCAAACCACCATGGCACATGTACACCCATGTCACAAACCTGCACGTTCTGCACATGTATCCCAGAACTTAAAGTAAAACAAAAAAGTTTTAAATAGTAAAAAACAAATGCAGTCCACTCCCACGAACAGGGAAGTGTTTTAAGAGCAGTACAACATAAAGATATATCAATAAGAACACTATTACTACAACAACAGAAAGATAGAAGGCAGAAAGGCTAAACTTCCCACAGTAAGGGATTGGCTGAATGAGACACAGTAACCACGTGTGCACCACACAGCCGAGAAAATGAACGAGTATAGTTCAGTGTGCAACGACAGGCAAAGACCCAAAGGAGCATCAGGAAGCAAAAAGACAGATGGACTCTGAAATCAGCCCATTCTTCTTTAACAAAAACAAATATAGATTCAAGTCTACACTTTCAAATGCAGTGAAAATTTCTGGAAGGATAAACAAGAAACAGTTCACAATCTTTAAAGAATTGAAAGGAAGAAAAAAAAACTGTTGACCTGGAAATCTATACCCAGAAAAAAAAAATCTCTCAACAATGAAGGCAAAATAAAACCTTTTTCGGATGTATAAAAGCTGAAGGAATTCACCTCCAGCAGAGCTGCACGACAAAAAGTGTTTAAGGAAATTCTTTAGGCAGAAGGAAAATTATACCAGGTGGAAATCTAGAGCTACACAAAGAAATGAAGAGCACCCAGAATTGAAAAATAATCTCGATACCATTTTGTAAAAATTTTTCCTACAGAAACTCACACTTTGCTCTCCTTTTCTCTTCTTGTATCCCAAAGTAAGATGGCTCCTGCCAAAGTTTAAGGAATTTCATAAAAATATTAGTCAATGTTAATATTATTGAATATCACAAATCTAACACTCATAGCTCATAGTAGTTACTCATTAAATGTAGGAGGAAGGATGGAAGGAAAAAGAGAGGGAGAGAGATGAGGGAAAGAGGAAAGAAGAAAGGAAAGAGAAAGACAGGAAGCAGGGAAGGAAGGGAGAGAGGGAGGGAGGGAGGAAGGAAGAAAGGGAGGGAGGGACGGAGGGGAAGAGGAAGGAAGGAAAGAAGGAAGGAAGGAAGGAAGGAAATTTTTATTTCTCACCTGTTGCTGCAACATTTCCCCTTCCCTTGAATAAACGGCTGCCTCCCTGCACCCCTCTGCAGAGTGCTCATCCAGCCGTCATCTCCTGGGACCGTGGGAGAAAGTAAGAATGAGCTTTACATTCTGGCTTTCCAAGGCTGTGGCCTCCATTCTAAGGACTTACAGGATATTGAACCAACCACCCCCAAAAGGGAGCACTTTGTTCAATCACTGCAAGACCAAACAGCAAGTCTCTGAAGCCCACAGAAACATTTCTACACCCTGCACTGGGCTTACACCCTGCACTGGGCTTGCAGTGATGACAGGCTCAGTGCATTCCTCCCGGGCTTCCTTGAAATTAAATCATGTGCAGCATATTTACATTCTGCCCCCAAATCTTACCACAGGCCAAAGAACCCTGATCTAGCCTGCCTGGAATGAGCCCTCATTAATACCCTGCATCCTCACGGTGGCACAGGGTCCCGGGAATGTGCCCTTCAGTAGGCTGAGCTGCACATTGTCAAGACAGCCCAACAATCTCATGACAAATTAGTCCAAACAATTACCTAGCCCTGTGTAAACAACACCAAGAAAAATATCTGGCAGCGTTTTTTTTCACTTGTTACCGGTCAACATGCCCTGTGGATCTTAGGTTTTATCTTCACGATGCAAAAAGGACCCAAGACTACAGTCAGCTGAGTCAAACAATTGTCCATGTTTGTATAGATGAAAAATAACCCTTGCCAGAACTTCTCACACTTCAAGTTGCTGTGGTGAACAGAGACTGATACAAAGTTCTGCTTCGATACAGAGACTGATACAAAGTACAGTATCAGTGCAGACACCAATACCGATACAGATACAGATACAAAGATGGACGTCTACAGAGTCTTAAAGATTGGTCTTTTGTCCCAGCTGGAGTGAGTCCTGTCCCCACTGGTGGCATGAGTCCCACTCTGACGTGTCTGGGAGCAGGTTATTAGGAGCCAGGTCATCATGGGTCTTGTGTGTGCTTGTGGCTGAGGAGGGACCCTCAGCAGGACAGAAGGGGCCCTTGGAGCTGACCTTCCTCAGGCCAAAATAAACAGGCTCTCTGTGGTCATTATTTTAATTAGATAATTTAATCGGTCTTGACATGCTTTCTATACACAGGCAAGAGCACGCCCAAACTGCTGCTGGGTCTGTGATATGGGAAAAGGTCTGAGTTTTCCAGTGACTCCTGGATATAAAAATAAAGAAAAGGGGAGGAAGAGCTGTATTAATTCTTTTCCCTTCATGCAGTATCACTGAATTTTTTCCAGAGGTCTAACGAAGAAAACAATCCTCCAAACCAATTTTTTCAAGGAAGTTCTTCATTTTTCCTAATCTTCCTAAAACACCATGACTGCAGAAGACCCTTTGTCCCACAGACTCCCCTGTGTGAAGGCTGGTCTCCATGAACTAGTGCAGCCCCAGTCTACGCTTTCTAGGGGGAGGGAGCAGGGAGAAGGGGAAAAGGGCTGAGAGAAGAGAGGGGAAGTGGGGAGGAGGGAGCACAAAGTCATGATGCTTTAGTGTTTAGAAAAACATAATTAATTAAAAGAAAACACACATTTAAACAAGTTTCTGCTTCTTTTCCAAAGCAACAAAAGACTCCTTTAGGCAAAGGGATTAGAAAAGTGCAGGGTCCATGTTTCAATTTCAGGAAGACTTTGTTTCTGCTCATCCAAAATTTTCTTTCCTGGAGGGTAGGCCCTAGATTTGGCTTCCCCGGAGGCAGTTTCGGGACATTTTGTAGGCCTGGCTCCCCCTCCCCCAGGCTGCTCCCAGATGTTCCCCAAAGGAGACATGCTGGTCACCCGCTTAACACTTCCTTCTTACTCTGGAAGCATGAGCTCAATTTCTCTTTACCCAGGCAACAAGAGCCCTAGACTCACCTTTGCTTTCTTCCTGCTATACAATCTAAAATCCCTGTCACAAAATAAAGTCACCCCTACAAATCTGTATCGCTTATTCCCTCCTGATTCCTTCCTTCAGGGCAGCTCCCAGCAAATGAATGGCATCTCCATGGAACAGGCTGTCCTCTTACAAAAAGGCCCCAGCAAACCAGAAGAGATTACGGAAAACCCCAAAGACACAGGTCTGGAAGAGAAAGAAGCAAGTCTGCCGTCTTTCTATTCCTGATGAAGACCCACCGCCCCGCCCAGCTGCTGGCACGCAGCACGCAGCCCTAACCAGGCTGACGACACCCACCTCCTGAGGACAGTTCAATGAGGGGATTAAACTACAGACTATGACACTTGGCACTCAGTTTGCGGTGGGCTTTGTCCTGTGCTGGTCCTTGCTGTTACTATTGTAGGTTTCACATTCATGTTCTCTTCTCAATTAAGAAACATCCATGAAATCTCCTCCCATCTCATTTGCCTGCCGAAAGCCCACCCAAACAGAATTATAACCAAGAGGGTGCTGTTCCCCTGTAAGGCACTCGCTAGGATTTGGCTTGGAAAAGTAAATTCGATGTAGTGACATCTTCATCATTAAAACAAAACAAAACAAAAATCTACTCTTTTCTTCTTTAATCACATTACACCAGGATTTTGAGGTTCCATCAACCCACTTGGAAATGAGGAAATGGGGACAATGTAGCCTCGTCCTTGCAAGCTGCTTTAACAGCGACAGCCAGGCTCCTACATGCAAGCGTCAGAAGCTCGCTGTCCACTGAACTCTGCTGCTTTCCCAAGAAGTTTAGTATCTCAAGGGAAACATCTGGGGGCGCGTCTGGGGGAGGTGAAGACAGCATCCAGAGAGCCCAGCCCCACACTTCAAAGCAGACTTCCCAACTCTGAAACGAACGAAGTTTCCTTCTTTCCCACATGTCTCTGCCATGCTAAATATAAATCCATCTCGGTTTACATTATGCTGCCTCTAATTGAATCTCATTCTTCGTTTGTTTAATTCAGAAACAATAAGCCATCCTGAGTGGCTCGCCGGGAAGTTTGCCACTGCGGCCAGCCTCGGTTCCCAGCAAGCCTCCTGAAGGGACCAAGGGACGAGGGGACATGGCTGGCCCTGCCCACAAGGGCTCGCTGCACATCGCAGGGACACATCTGGGTTTAAAAGGTAAAGACACAAGGACGGTCCAACTGTAGGAAACCCATCCACATAATGCCCACGCTAGGAGTCAAAGAGAAAGCTTAATACCCAGTAGGTGCTGAAGAGGGCTGACGAGCATTAACCCTTCATTCTTCCTTGGCTGTAACCAAAGTGTCCTGAGTAAAACAGGAGCCCGTGGTACTTCCTCAGCATGACAAAATTCATCCCTCAGATCTAACGCCAACACTAACTTGCCATCCACGGTGGAATTTCAGAGACACTTCATGGAAGGTCAGAAGCAAGATAAAGCTGTTGCTATCACCCCTGTTATTTATTATACTGGAAAATATAAAAAAGGAAAGAAGGGGGGAGTATAGGAAAATTGTCATTATTTGTAGATGATATGATTACATACCAGGAAACCCAGGAGAATCCACTGAAAACAAATAGAATTTGGTAAGAATCTGGCTATAAATTCATATCTAAAAATGTCACTAACTCTCAGAAGTCTTAGTTTATAGTTCAGTATAGTTTCCTTTCATTCACTTGGCAAATACTAAGCACCTACTGTGTGCCAGGTGGCATTTCTGGATGCTCCATATACAGCAGAGAAGAAAGACTGCAGACCAAGTGAGGGATTCAGAGACAGAGGAGGGACTGCTGATTTTGTAGGAGTAACAGAGAAGTCCTTTCTGAAGATCTGACCTTATATGAAGTCCTGGTGAAGCGGAGACATCAGGCAGATACAGAAGGACATCGGGGCTGCTAGGTGGGCTTGGGAAACAGCTTGGGGGAAGGACAGGGCATCATCCAGAGATGAGGCCAGAGGTCACTGGGAATCCTTCAGGCTTGGGAGGCCACCAGGAAGGCCGAGGCTTTTACTCTTGAGAGGGTGTTCAGCAGAGGAAGCGTGATCTGATGTTCCTTCATCAAAACGGCGCAGGATACAGTGAGACACCGCCTCACAGCATCAGGACAGCTACTATCAAAACAAAGAAAATATCAAGTGTTGGTGAGGATTGCTTTTGTTGCGATTGCTTCTAGTGTCTTCATCATGAAACCTTTGCCTGAGGACAGGATTGTAAGCTGTCCTTACAGTGCTATGAATCACTCCAGTTTGTGAGCTTTTGGCTCCATGATTGCGATGTTGAACTGATCTGTAGACAGGAGCCAGGCTGTATCCTTAACGAAAGGTGGAAGCTCAGGTGAGAGCCAATCCCTTCCAGGGCCACCACCTCTGAGGTCACTGCTGGTTCCGATCATTGCAACATCTTCCAACTCAAAGCCAAGCCCAGAGTTTCTGTGACTCTGGGTTTTCCATCTGATGTGGTTTTTGAAAATACAACTAATCCTTCAAGAGCATCTCTTGTTTCAAACCACAGCTCAAGGCTGTTTTCCAGGAAGGAGAACAAGCCCTGCTCTGAACTTCCTCCTCCTCTTTCATCTTAATGACCAGTTAACTTAATTCACCACCCAACTGAGCCTTGGTGGAAGAACAGAGGAAATGGAAAGTCCTCAGAGAAAGGCCTGCCTTGTAGAACTGTCCATGTCACCCTCCTCCCCTCCCCCTTGCAGAGGCCCCGAGTCACAAGCTGTAAGCTGCCTCGTTCTGAGTGCATCCCAGCCCAGGCTCAGGCCTCGCTGCTCCCCTGCAAATGTTCTTGCCCATTCTAGCTCTGGACTTTTAAATTCTATGAAGGGAGGAGTAGCCGTTTCCAGTAAAAGGAGGAAATAAAAGCAACAGTGGCTGACGGGCAGGGAACAGCTAAGAATGATCACCCTGAATCTTCACATATCCCCGTCTTCAGATATTTGCTCTGAAAAGACATATTTCCCCCATAAAGTGGTTCCACGCCGTTTCTCACAGCACATGTGATGATTAATCAGACAATTCTCAACTTAAAGCCTTTGTGCACAGTCACAGGAAGTGACTTTTTCCAATGTTCTGTTTGTATGCAGTGTAGTTCATAAAAGAGTGTAGGAAATGCCACCCCAAAATACACACAAGGGCACATTGAAATCACTCTTGGCAATTTCTTCAAACCAAGGCTACTTGGGGAATAGCAGATGCAAGAAGGGGCTTTCTCCAAGCTCCTTGTTTCTACCCAAAGACAGATCTTCCAAAGGAACTCACATGTCATGAACCCCTCCCCAGGAACCTCATCCAGCAGGCAAGAGGGAACTCAAAGCACAGCAGAGCAAACTGGAGGTTCATGCCACCCAGACAGACTTTGCCACAGACAAAGGGTTAAAGTCATTTACCCTCCCCTAAGTTGTCTCCCTTCCCCTTCCCTGGCCCCTACGAAGAGCACATATAAGCTTCTAGATCTCACTACAGGGAAAGTTTTCCCTCCCCTCCACTTACAAATGCAAAGCATTGTCAGAGTTCTCAGCAGCCTAGTTGAAGCCACACCCAATCCTGCTGCACCAGCCAGCCTGAGCATCCTGCAATCTCTTCATCAAGTGCCATGAGAGTTGAGCGAGCCCGAGAAGGTGGCAGGAAGTGTGGGGCTTAGGTGCCACCCAGAACTCAGAGACCTCCACCCACACAGCCCACCAACGCTGTCATCCACAATGAGTGCTGTATGACGGTGTGGCTACCATGTACTAAGCAACTGAAACATGCCCTGCATTGCATGAGGCCCTTCACGGTAGCGCATTTTACCCTCACAACAACTCTATGATGTAGATCCTTCTGCTTTTCAGATAATCTCCGAATGCTCCACATAGGATGCTGGTTGTGACACTATGGCATGGCAGGCATCCCACCTGGATCCCTGAATGGTGTCACTCCTGAGACCTAGGTATCTCTGGCCCCAGAGAACAGGCTGACGGAGTGGGTCTATCTAAGCCTAAGTAGCACAGGAAACAGGAGAAAACTCATCCTGAAGAACAAAAGAACCAACATAAATATCTATGGCTAAAAGAAATGGGTCAGACTCACGATGGAAGATGACTGTATGCACTGAGGACACTGCCAAGGGCCTTCCAGGCTTGCCGGCCCCGGCTGAGGCCCTGCTGATGCACACCTGGGGGAGGAAACAAACAACTGCAGAACTGCTCTCCTAAGACGCCCTCGGGCCGTAAACATGGCCACCTGCGCCAGCGGACTGGGTCTGCGGGGCAGCATGCTGACGGTTCCCTGATAGCCACAGATGGGGCGTGACAGCGAGGCCAACACACCCACGGCCCTGAGCGGCAGGTGCTGTTAGGCATCGATGGCCTGTCCCAGAGCAGGATGATGTGGAAGAGAAGAGGCTCAGAATTCATTCAAAATCTTTGAGGCCAAGGGCCTGGGCCATCTCTCTGAGATGTCCAGATGCTTTCCTGAGCATTTTCTTTCACTTGCCTCATTTCACTGAGCCAGGACGGCTAGACACTGGGCTGCAGCAGATGAAGGACACCAGACTCAAAGGCGTTCGGTGTCACCTGCCTCCCAGAGACAGGGTCTTAAGGTTTGCTCTGTTCACCCGAGGGGTCCTTCCATGGCCCATGTGGGCAAGGTCCCCAATACCTTGATTTTTTTTTTTCTACTTACGTTTTACTGTCACTCCCAGCAAAACTCAGTCCAGCTCAGTTCTCCAGGCTGCACACGTGGCCACGGTGGCCCCCAAGCTTCTCTGAGGCTCAACAGTAGCATTTCTCTGTTAGGCTTAGTCAACTAGGTATTTAGTTTGACCAAAATAACTCACTCATTTCTTTTCGTAGTAGCTTTAGGGGTACAAATAGTTTTGGGTTACATGGATTAATTGTATACTGGTGAGGTCTGCACCTATCACCTGAGTAATACATATTGTACCCGGTATGTAGTTTTTCAGCCCTCACCCCACTCTCTTCTCCCCAATTCTGAGTCACCAGTGTCCATTGTACCATTCTGTTTGTCTCTATGTTTGCATAGCTTAGCTCCCACTTGTAAGTGAGAACATGTAGCATTTGGTTTTCCATTCCTGAGCTACTTCACTTAGAATAACGGTCTCCGGCTCCATCCATGTTGCTGCAAAAGGTATTATTCCATTCTTCGTTACTGCACATCTCTTTAGACAATGCCTTCCAAATTTCCCCTCAACACACAGCTTTGTTTTTCTTATGATTACAAAGATAACACATTCAAACAACACAGAAAAGAAGAAAAAGGAGAGTCAAGATCACCCGAAATCCCATTCGCTCATCATGAACTGTACAAATTGTGCGATACCAAACCAGTACCTCTGGTGTCTGCCACACTGATGGGCCCGAGGGGGCAGGTGGGATTTTGCCCCGGCTCTGCTAGCTCATCTCTGTGGAGCAAACACATATGGGCCGCGTGTCCATGGGATGGGGACCAGGCAGCCGCGAGGAGCCATGGGGACCTCACTGCGCTGGCTGTGCTGCTGTCTATGCTTTGACTTAGAATTGAGGCTTGTGCCTGCAAACCTTCTTTGGGCACATAGAATAAGTAGCAAAGGGAAGCTATTATTGTTGTGTGACCCTGACCGGCCTAATTCCCGGAGCCTGCTTCCTCCCGTGTCATTTCCCGTCCTCCCCGCATATCTACCTCTGCCCAGTCAAGACTGACCTTTGACAGTGATCACTTACCTCCTGACAAACTTTCACTGAGACTGAATTGGCTTAGTATCTCCTAAACCAAAAAGATTCTGCAGGAACAACAGGGTGTCAGCGCTAAGCAGTGCGGTCCAGGCGGGGAAGTTCGGGGACTTGAACCCCAGGGCAAGCAGACCTGGCAGGAAATCGCCCCTGACGAGGACCAGCACGCTCAGGCTCAGGATCCCAGTCATCAGAGCGATGAGGTCCCAGGAGCAGTTAAATGAAGCAAGGCTTTAGTGTGGCCTGTGAATTCTGTGTACTCTCCTAGAGGGTGTGCTTTCACACACACGACTTCAGCCACAATTCCCACAGAGCCGGCGCCGGATGAATGGAAGGCAGGGCGGGGGGGCTAGCGGAAGGGAGGGGCATCCTGATGCTTGGAAGGAGGTAGAGTCACCACTGGTGATGTGGGGAGAGGCCTGGCCCTGCCACCACCTCTGTGTGCTGTGGCCCTCCCAGAGTGAACGAGAAGATTAAAAGGCACGTAGTCCTGGAGGAGACCTACACAGGACACACCCAGCTGCGATCTTCTGGAAAGGGGTCTCTTCTCGGGGGGGAGCCTTGCTGTTCCTAGGATTTGGTGGACTCAGAGTCGCAGATTAGTGCAGGGGAGGGCCACAAGGCGTGCGAGGGGGCGGTGAGTGTGGAGTCGCAGGGGCACTGCGTTTCCTGAGAAAGGCAGGAAAACCTGGGAAACGCTGACTCCTCCTCTCATCTTCCATATCAATTCCTTGTGAAATGCTATCAGTTCCCCATCCTAGTATAATGTGAATCCGTCTCTGCAGCCATTCTCTCTGCCGAGGCCACCACCCCCTCTCACCTGGGTTAAAGCGCAGCCTCCTCCCTGGCCTCTGGCCTCCAGCCTTGTCGTTCTCCCATCCATTCTCCCTATTGCAGCCACAATCATTTCATTCATTCATTCATTCATTCATTCATTCATTTATTTATCTGATGCCATCTACCCTGTGAAATGCCACCAAAGTGGCTTCCCTTTGCTCTCAGGAGGACATGCAGACCCTGCAGCTTGTCCTACAAAGCCCTCGCCACCCCTCCCCTACCTGCCCCTCCATGTCCACCCTCACCCTGTCCTGACTCACCTGCAATGCTCCCGCCCTGCAGCATGGCCCCAGCTCCTCCTGGCAGGCATCCGTCCCTCACCTCTAGCCCTCACACCCGCTGCTCGTAGTCAGGCATCGTCCCTCACACCTCCTAGCCCTTCAGACCCGCTGCTACACTGAGCAAGCACTCCGTGCCCGTCACCTCTAGCCCTCACACGTCTGGCCAGGTACCGTCTCACTTTCTCCTAGCCCTCAAACCAGCCTCGCGCTGCTCCTGGCAGGCATCTGTCCCTCTGTCACCCAAACAAAATCGAAACAAATCAATAAAGGTTCTAACCACATGACATAGATTCACACAATTAGTCTCCTCACACTGGCACGCCTGCCCTAACTGGCAGACATCCGTCCCTCCACCCTCTAGCCCTCACAGTCCAGCCTCCTCCCTGGCCAGACGTCCCTCCCTCCACACATCTAACGCACTCATCAACCAGCTCCGCGCTCTCTGCGTTCCCATTGTCTACATCCTAGACCACCCTGTGATGGTTAACTACCTAGTGTCAACTGATTGGACGAGGAGGCAAAGTTATTGATGCTGGATGTGTCTTGAGGGTGATTGCCAAATGAGATTACATGAGTCAGCGGCCCTGGAAAAGGCAGATCTAACCTCCATCTGGGTGGGCCCCACCTAACACTGACTTATTAACTGCCTGTGCAGCCAGATATTAAAGCTGGCGATAAAATCAAAGCCAGACTGGACGGTGACTATTAGCCTTCCAGCCTCCATCTTTCTCCCTGCTGGATCTTCCTCCCTTCAAACCCTCTAACATATAGCCTGCGCGCGAGCGAGGTATATTGGGACTCCGAACTGCTTCTTAAATCTGCCTCAGCTCTTACAGATGGGCCTTGCATATGTTGGGACCCTTGCTGACCCGATGTGGGAGTCAATTCTTACCTTCCAGAACAAACCCCATATGATATGTGTGTGGTGTGTGTGTGTGTATCAAAGCTGCTATATGTGTGATACTGATAGACTGCTCGTCGTAGCGTGTATATATATACTCGCTATCAGTTTCTGAGATCCCTCTAGAGAACCGACTCGACTGAATACGTACTACGATAGGTTTCTCGCTTTTCGCCTTGCCTATTCTTGAAGGAGCTGAAAAGTCACTGACTGTTGCATTCCTTCCTGATCCCACCAGACTGGGTTATTTTCATCAAAGGGAGAGGTTCTCCACCCTGGCTGCAAAGGAAGGTCTCCTGGAGAGTTTCAGTACCAATGCCCAGGCCCCATTCTCACCCAGAACAATTAAATCAGACTCCCTGGGGTGCTGGGGGTGGGTAGGCTGGCCAGACCAGGTGAGTCTAACAGAGAGCCACATTTGAAAACTACTGACCGTGGGGCCAGTTACGCCATGCTGTGCTCCCCGAGCATCCATCCTGTACTTCCCACATCAGGGCACTTATTGTGAAATGACAGTGACTGGCATTGTCAGCACATCGTTAACATCATAGTCATCATTGCTATCATGGTCATCCTTGCATGCTACTCTTTTTTGCTTTTTAGAGACAGGATCTAGCCCTGTCACCCAGGCTGGAGTGCAGAAGTGCACTCAAAGCTCACTGAAGCCTCAAGTTCCTGGACTCACGCGCTCCCACCTCAGCCTCCTGAGTAACTGGGACTACAGGGGCACACCACTATGCCTGGTTAATTTTTTTTATTTTTATATTTTGTAGAAATGGGGTTTTGCTATTACCCAGGTTGGTCTCGAACTCCTGGCTTCAAGCAATCCTCCCACCTCAGCCTCCCAAAACGCTGGGATTACAAGCATGAGCCACTGTACCTGGCCCCTTGCACGTTATTCTAATATCCACATGTCTCTATTTCCACATTTAAATTTTGGAGACAAAACCTCTCTTCTCTGTCAAGCTCCTTTCCAAAGGGTGGTTAATTTATAAAGGGATAACACCTGTTTGCTGCTTGGCCACTTAAGACACCAGGTGCTACATCTCCAGTCCCTTCTGTTGTTTTGACTCAGGAAACCAAGCCAACTAGTGAGGCTACATGTTGGAATTGAGCTTGCTGGAGGCTTTTAAACTCCAGTTGCAGGTGCCAAAGCATATCTGCACAGAAAGGCTCTCTTAGCCGTGGTTTGGACAAAGAATTGTTCTCGTCATTGTTTATTATGAAGAGCTTGCAGAGATTCTTGTGGATTACTCAACAGTGCCTATGAATCTGACCTCTGTTGATGGCTGGGTGAAACTAGTGTCATTGTTTTTAGAGCACAGCTAATAACACTAGCTAGAATCACTCAGGGCCAGTTAATCAGAAGGAAGAGGCGATAACAGCATCTTTATGATATACAGTGATGTGATAAGATGCAGACGTAATGAGAACTCTTTTCTTCTGGAAAAGATTAAAGACATAAAATCCTGGCTTGGGAAAAAAAGACTCTTTGTCCTGCCGAAAAAAAGTGACCAGATGTCTTGATTTAGACAGAAAAGGGCCTGATGTTTTAGGACCGATCCCCCATCTGTGAGGCTTTTTTTTTCTTTTGCTTATTTTCCTGTTTCCTGGGTTTATGAGGCACCACCAAAAATCTGAACTTTCCTTGGAGCTGCCTTCCTCCCCTGGAAAGCAGTGGGCCCACACAGAGACAGGAGCATGGGGCTCAGGGCACACTGGAACTTCCCAAGTGTGAAGAGGTGGCCCGGGGAGTGTGCACTGAGAGGCTTCCTCAGCCCCCATCAGATCACAGGGGTGGCACTGGCTGCTTCCTGAGAGCAAGTGGGACCTAGACCTAGCCACCGGGTGAGGACCATGGAAACACTTCTGATTTTCCTTCCACGAGTACCCACCAAGGGGACACCACGAACCATGGCATAGCGATCAGAAGAAAACTCCAAAGCTTTGGGACAGTTATCCAGGAAGATGGGCGTTTGTACGTTTCCCACTGCTACACAGAGGAAAGCGTGGCGTTGGGTGTCTTTTCTCTTCTAAATTGAGTGGCCTCTGTGGGAGTGGAGCGAAGCTTAGCCAGAGTTGGACGAGTGTGAATCTGCCTCTAACTAACCAGCCATGTGGCCTGGAGCAAAGTAATGTCCCTTCTTCAGGCCTCTTCCTTCACCTGTGAACTTAGAGGGCTAGCTGGAAGACTGGCCCTAAAGTCCTGACAACCAGGACTACAACCACTGTGGTTGACACTGCCTCACATGATTCCACACAGAGCCTGGCACACAGCAGGCCTGCAATCAAAATCGTGGAATGAAATCCTGAATGCCTCCAGGAATGAAAGCGCCTCTGAAGGTCCCATTTGGCCCTCAATTTTGTGATCCTTACCAGATTTTTTTTTTAATCATTCAGCCTGCAAAATTTTCACTGAGCCCAGCCCTCAGTGGCTTTGCTCACTGAGCAACGAATCCACGAGATCTGCCTAAAAGCTAAAACCTCTGTGGGAATTCCCATAGGAAACCAAGAAAAAGTAAGGCAAGGGGAGAGATTAATCATGTTGAACAGCCTCGAATTTCTAGGCTCCAGGTAGCTGTGGGATGTTCTACGTTTGAAAATATGATATGAAACTCACTATTGCCAATTATCAGCTTTTTGCCTTTAGACAAGTTGCTTGAAACCTCTGAGATTCTACTTAAACCCATCTGTAAGGTTGGATAACAATTGCATTGATCACACACACACCTACACACACACACACACACACACAGTTGTTTTGATGATTAAATGGGAAAATATTTGTGAAAACATTTTACAGCAAAATGTGCAATCATATGCCAGGCTTTGCTATTGTATAAGCCCATGTTATCACTAGGACCAGTGTAAGTGGAGGGATGCTAAAGGCACTGACTGGTGCCACTTTAAAATCCAGCGAGACAGGCATCTTCAGAGCATGCCACTCAGTGCTGCCACTTTGGTGTTTTGAACATCAAACACATCTTCTGGAATAACATTTTGATGTTTTTAGTATACACAAGTAAAGAACATGTAGATTCACTTTCACTGCATATATACACCGGGACTGCAGAGGAACGTCCTGGGGAAGGAGTGTGAGATTTGGTAGAACCCCAAGGTTTTCAAAACAAATACAATAATTCAAGGAAAAGGAAAACTAATATTTAACGAGTGTATGATATTGGCCAGACGCTTTATACATATTATCTTATCTAATCGTCACAATAACCCCATGAGACATGGATAGCGTTTATAGACAAAGCAACTGAAGTTCACAGAGGTGGAGTTTTTGCACATAGTCACAGGGAGGGCCAAAGCTAGGACTTGAACCCAAGTCTCACAGAAGCTAACGCCTCTGAATTCTCCTGTGCTCAGCAATGAATGGGGTTCCTGACTCTTGGGGTGTAAAAATGTTACCTTCCCTTGGAAAACATGAACTCTCCCCCTGTGCTTCCTGGATCTTAAAAGATCTGGACACTGATATGTTTTCTTAGTCCCTGCTGAGAATGATCCATAAAATGGCCTCACTTTGAGAATCAATGCCAATGACCACCGCATTAATACTGAGACAGAAATGCATTTCCAAGTGCATTTGCTTGCTTATTTAGTAAATATTTATGTGTCTTGGACACTTGGCCACATCTCAGCCACATCATGAAATGCCATATTTGGGAGCTTTATATTGGAGCAGAAGATCTTTGATAAACACTGTGGAAATCATCGTGTAATTCACTAGGACTTCCCGGCTTTGCTGGAAGCATCTGGTGAATTCTCCCACCGCATTCCCAAGAGGGCACTAGCTCACTGCCTTCCCACAGGAGAGAGAGAGAGCACTCAGTCTCTTCTCCAGCCTTCCAGAGTCTTTCAAGCAAAATGGACCCCACTCACCTGTCAAGGAAGCTTGACGAGGCCCTCGGTGGGGAAGGGCCTGGCAGACCCTTCCATCAGGCCTAATGATGTGCTGGCCAGCACACAGGGAATGAGAGGCACCAAAGGGAATGGCCTCCTGCTCTCTGATGATCCCAGGTCATCACGACACCACAGGTCCACAGCCAGAGCTGGATGCACAATCTGTGTACAGGGCATTGGGGAGGATGAAAGTGAATGGACACTCCATGTGACTGTGTCCATCCATCCCCGATGGCCTTTTCCACCACCCTCTACAGACAAAGACAAGCATAGGCTTGTTGGTGGACACAGCTTCAGTTGATGGTGCATGCCAGGACCACAGTGCACGGTGCTTGATTGACCCTCTTACGCCATCGTATCCTCTCTGCTGTCTGACACACACAAGTCTCAGAGATGCTTGATTACAAGAACTCACTATTAATCAGGCCAAAGATGGATTTCTGATCTCATAAGTGAAAAAAACCTCAAAGGGGAAAGTTTTCTAAAGTTGACATTTCACTGTTTTGCTTTGCAGAAAACACATTTATATGTAATAGCATTTCACAGCTTATAAGGTACTTTTATTTTTATTAGCCTCATGTACCATTATCACAACTCCTAAGGTAGTAGTTATCATTATTCTCACTTGAAAGGTGTGAAAACTGGCTCTAAGAGAGGTTAAGATATTTGCCAGTGGTTGTCCACTTTGGTGCTAAGGTTGAAACTTAAACACAAATCTTCTGGCCAAAAAGTCTGCAGTTTTTCTACACCGCCTCTAGATCTCTTTTGACATTTTGCTCATCCTATAGCCATTGGCTTCTTGTAGATAGGAATTACATCCTTTCTACTTGTTACAGAGCCCAGTATTAACGTAAAACACAAAACACACAATATTTTCATACTGAGCTTGTAGTGAAGACTTTAACAAAATAATTGAGTAGATGAAATTAAATACTACTAAGGACCATCATGTTATTTCTGTTATTACCCTCCCATAATCTGCCTATGTCACTGTAACCATCATGAGAACATGTTTTCCTTGTTTCCATATTATGAGTGTACATGTGTTATTTTTATTGGCCACATAATACTTTATTATATTCATGAACCATAACTTCAACCCATTTCTCCATTTGGTCCTTTCAAGTTATTTTTCCATTTTTTCCTTAAAATCAAGTTGTAATGTATCTGATTTAGGAAGCCCAAAGCTCAGGAAGTTCACCCCTGGGTATTACCTGTTGTGCCTCTTCTGACATGCCCAGTTGGCCAGACAGGTGGAATTCTGGTGTGAACCTGAGCTACTTGTTAAAAATTAAAACTTCTGAAGCTCAGGTCAACTGAATCAGAACCCCTCTGGGAGTCGGAGTCAGGAATCTCCATTTTAACAAGCTTCGCAGTGACTTCACACACCCTAAGGTTTGAAAACCACTAGTTATTTACGTGAACTTAAATAGAGCTGGCTTCTGCAGCCAATTTCATGCCTTTAATTTGATCACCTGCATCTAGTTTGTGTCTCTAAAGTCTCCACACCATTACATAGCACCTCTCATATTCTTGTCCTAAGAACACAAGGACAGGGCTGGAGGACTCTGAGTCCTCAAGGAGTCAAGGGTCAGGCTTCATCTCAGCCAGAAGAGGAGGCTGTCTTTCAGTCCTTCACACCCGATTCAGTAACTGGCTGGTGGGGGAAGGCTTCTGTGTGAAAATATCCTCGGCAATTTCTCCAACAATTAATTACCCAACTGCTGCATAAACTCTAGTATCAACACTCAAGACCACCCAACAGAAAGCGTCAGGCACACTTGCTACATCAGCCTGCCATCGTGTGTGTGCGCGCGCGAGTGTCTGTGCATGCGTGTGTTACTAAATAAAAGGGACCACAAAAAAAGGTGTGTGAGATTTTTTCAAAATGACCCCCAGAAGAACCCTACAGAATGTATTTTCCAAAATATCTATTCAACTTGAACTTGGAGAATACCCCTTTTTACAAAAGTCATGCCCGAAGTGCCTTTTGGCATTCACAGGCGCTGCGGACAGGCGCTGCGGTGTGGATGCGGAATATGTTCGGGAGCTTTGGGCTTCATTGGTACAGATGGGAACAGCTCTACATGCCCACGGCTGGGCTTACTGCTTTGTACCGATAAAGTTCCCAACCCTTGCTTGATGCGTGGAGAGGCAACCTCCACGAGCTAGGCTCTCTTCATGGTGATTTCTCTCATGGCCAGCTTGATGCCTGTGGCCGCAGTATCAGAACATTATAAAGAAAAGCCTTCAGGTTTTGGAGTCAAATATCCTGGGATCTGAATCACAGCGCAGCAGCTTACCAGCTGTGTGGTCTTGCATGACTCAGTCAACTGACCTCATCCTCAATTTCGCATCCATAAAAGGGGAAACATTGTAGGATGGTGTAGGGATTGAAAATACGAAGAAATGCCTGAAGCCATCCTAGAACCCTCTTAGAAGTGATTAAAAACAAGTATTTTAATGGTCTAATGATCCCATTCGATTCTGCCAATATTTACTGAAGGCTTGTCATCTAACAGGCGTTGTTTCAAGCACTTGGGACAGATGGATCCCCGCCCCGTATGTAACCACCTCATGGCTTTAGAGTGGTTCTGGGACCTTTGGTAAACCAGGACAGGGCAGTAGGTTTTTGTCACCATTTTCCACTTGTGTCTGCTACAAGCCCAATGGAGGTAGAAACCTCATAGTGCTGACAACTGTCTCCAAGGATTGCCTCAAGGACATTGCTATTGTTTAGTAGTATTCGTGGCACATCCTCCACCTGGCAAAGTACTCAAGAGATGTGCTGGGGCTGGAAGCCTGGGGGGCTGGCCTCTAGCCTTGGGTTTCCATTAACACACTGTGGGATCTGGGATCCTCTGCTTCATTTTCCCTGCCAACAAGTTGAGACCAGTGTCATTGCTGAAGGAGTCCCAATAAATGAGCCTCTCTCTTCTCCATGAATAAATTGGGAATTAGAGTAAGAAGTGAGAGATGAGAACCCAAACATCAGCTCATTACTGATAAGAGCATGAGAGGCAGTGAGGGCTGAGCTGGACAGCAGACAGGCCCCCATGGACCCCACAGCCAGTCACTCCTGCCTAGGGAGGCAGCGTAGAGTCGGGGAGAGAGGTGGGGGGTTGGGGGGTGGGAGAGAACTCCAAGCTGCATGCGGCTCCTGCAGAAGAGTGGATCTCACTGAGCATGCTCAGCCACTCCCCGAAATGCATCCATCCAGCCATTCTCTCCAGCTCCTCCAGAGAGGAAAGGGGTGGTAACATGAGGCCAAGTGAGTGCCGAAAGAAAATCTTCGAAAACAGGGAGAGCCAATGCTCTTACCTCTCTAAAATCTGATCAGATGCTGTACTATTCAGTTGATGGATCAAGTCACCGAGAGGCAGAACAGTCGAGAAGTTCCATGGATCTGAACTGCTGCTTTGTAATAATAGCCAGGGAACCAGGACACGTCCCTGGAACATCCGGAAGCCTGATTCTGCCGGAATTCTGAAGATACAGAGAGAAACTGGTTGATACTTTGAATCCCTTATGTGAAGTCCAAATGAGCCCTAGAAAAGCATTTCTCAACTTGCTACTTGCAACCCATTCGTGGGTTGTGAAATTATAATCAACTTTTTACAAATTACATATAATTGTCTATATTGGAGTACTTGGCTGTACAGGCATTGTTCCATGAAACGTCGGGCTCAGTATTATTTACATGGGGATTGGGGTGTGATGGGGGTCATGATGCTACACGTACCTCTTACTGGAAATCACAATTAAAAGGCGCTGCCCTTGCAGCAGTAACAGGTTTTTAATTGACTACAGTAGGAAGGAGAAGTCTGCCTTCGGTGTGAACGGCACATGCTGAAGTTGGCTGGTTCAGCACCGGTTTGTTCCAACCTCCTCCGCCCGGCCTCCTGTCCCACAGAGGTGGGAAGCTGAGCACTGCCTTTCCCACTCACCTCTGCTGCCATGCAGGTGAAATGTGCAAAACTAAAAAAGTTAAGATGCTGATGTGAGGAGCAGCAGGCCGCAGCCGTGGGTGGGGATCCGGGCTTCCAGCCAGTGCATGCTGGAGACCCCTGTCCTCTGCGAGGCCGTTTCTGGCGTCCAGTCCTGAGCCTCAGGGACCTCGTGGGGATGGCAGTGGCAGTAGTGTCCTGAGGATGTCTGTCCCCTGCTGTAGCTAAGCTCAGTTCCTGGCTGTGTTTCGCCTGTTCTTCCGGGCCCTGTCGCCTCCAGGCCTGGTTCCTGCCCCACTGGAGAGTAAGTGCGGCACACGGCGGCCTTTCATAAAGCTGCTGGCGTTCTGTCCGTCTGCCTCTGCGTCCCACGCTGCGTCCTGCCAGGCCTGGCCCTCACATCCAGGGCCCCCTGTTTTCCTCTTTGCCATAGGGTTCCCTTTAGTGGCAGGCAGCCCCCTGGTGTCGCAGGGTTTTTCCCTGCAGCCCCTCAGCTACTTCAGGATCTGCTGCTTCTCTCTCCTGTTTTATCCAAATCAGTTGGTCCTGTGGCTCCACCATTCAGGACCCTACTTCAGCAACAGCTACCCCAGTGAACTGCTAACATTATCCTAAGTGAAATGGCTCAGAAAAACTGAAAGCCAAGAACTGCATGTTCTCACTTGTAAGTGGAAGCTAAACAACGGGTGCTCACGGACATAAAGAGGAGTAATAGACATTGAGGGCAGGAGGGGTTAGGGATAAAGAGGAGTAATAGACATTGAGGGCAGGAGGGGTTAGGGATGAAATATTAGCTACCGGGTACAATGAACACTAACTGGGTGGTGAGTTCACTAAAAGCCTAGACTATACCACTACACAATATATCCTTTTTTTTTTTTTCCCGAGACAAAGTCTCGCTCTGTCACCAGGCTGGACTGCAGTGGCGCAATCTTGGCTCACAGCAACCTCAGCCTCCCAGGTTCAAAGATTCTCCTGCCTCAGCCCCCCCAGTACCTGGGTTACAGGTGCCCACCACCACACATGGCTAATTTTTTGTATTTTTAGTAGAGGCAGGGTTTCACCATGTTGGCTGGGCTGGTCTTGAACTCCTGACCTCAGGAGATCTACCCACCTTGGCCTCCCAAAGTGCTGGGATTTCAGGCATGAGCCACCACACCTGGCCCAGTATATCCATTTAACACAGCTGCACTTGTATCCCTAAATCCATAACAATAAAAATAAAAATTTTAAAAGCAGAGGGTAAGCTAAAGTTTGTATAAAAAAAGATGCGAGACAAATAAATATTCTTTAGAAAAATTAAATTAAAATGTATATCAAAAAATTAAATAAAATAAACTGTTTAAGAAAAGTGCCAACGGTTTGATGCTTCACCGTGTCCAGTGGAGCCCATGATCCAAGAGGTAGCCTTCAATACCTTCAACCCACAACATTCAAATTGAAGATTTCAGTTGTTGGGGTCCTGCCTTGAGTGAACTCCTTTTATTCTCCCATGTGATTTAAAAGACGACTGCATAAAACAATACAGACTGATCACATTCTGATGGCTCCCAGCAGGGGAGCCCGAGCCTTCCCTCCTCTCTCCACCCAGAGCAGCTCCACTTTCATCTACTCTATCTAGCAGAGCTCCACCCAAGTCTGTATTTGAAATAAAGGAATGAAAAAGTCCCAAGGCCATGGTATTAACAGAAAGGATTCTAAAAAGCACAACCCCTTTTCAGGATGCCGTGCCTAATCCCCAGAACCCGTGAGTATGGCAAAATAATCACACCATGATTAGGTTCTACTCTATGGCACAGTTGGCCTTTGGATTGGGAGATTGTCCAGTGGGTCTGACCTAATTGCAGGAGCCCTTAAAAGCAAAGTGCTTTCCCTGGCTGCTGGCAGAAGAAGAAAGCAGAGAGACTCGGAGCAGAGCTCAACATAAGCCATCGCCTCTTTGGAGAAGGAAGGAGACTCATGCTCACTGAGCACCAAAGATGTGCGAGGCATCCCGCACACCCCCATGAAGCATGCTCATCCACTCCCATTTCACCAACAAAGGAAGGGAATCCAACTGAGATCAATAATTTTCCCCCAAGTTGAATAAGGTAACTAGGATCCCCCAAGATCTGGCTTTTCTCTCACAACTAAGTAAGACGATAACCAGCACATTAATAGGCTTATAAAAGGCCCAATAAACAGTTCACAGAAACAGAAATATAAGTGGCCAAAAATGTTTGAAAATATGCTCAACCTAATTCAAAAATAAATATATGCAGTGTAAGTGAAATATTATCTATTAGTCCTTTGATATAAATTTAAAATATTAATAATACCAAGTATCAGTGAGGGTAAAAATATAGGCACTCTCATATATTATTAACAGAAATGTAACATGGAGCATCCTCTTGGGAAATCAATAGGCAAAACTTATAAAAATTCTACATACATATAGCCTTTGACTCAAAACTTCTCAGCTAGGAATTTACCCTACAGACAAAACACTCACAAAAGTATGCCAGTGCATCTACATGATGGTCACTTCAGTATTATTTGTAATAATAAAAATACAAAAAACATAAGAGAATAGGTATTAAGTATTCTTACCACAAAAATAAGTATGTGAGGTAATGCATATGTTAATTAGCTGATTTAGCCATTTCATAATATATACATATTTCAAAACAATATGAGCACAATAAATATATGGAATTTTTAAATTTGTTAATTTAAGAAAATTTAAGGCAGAAAACAGCAATCTACAGGCACATGGAAAACTATGATTGACCCATATGATACAATATCTACATAAAGGCTAAAAAGAATCAGAATGTGATCAATCTGTATTGTTTTATGCAGTTGTCTTTTAAATCACATAGGAGAATAAAAGGAGTTCAAAAGAAATGTACATTTATACTTTCCTTCCATATTTACCTATGTAGTTACCTTTATCCGGTTCTGTGCTCTTTATTTCTTAATATGGATTTCTTCAAGTTACTAACTAATGACCTTTTACTTCAGCCTGTATATTATATTCTGCAGGGCAAATTGGCTGGCAAGAAATTATCTCAGTTTTTGTCTATCTGGAAATGCCTTAATTACTTCTTTAATTTTCACTAATTGTTTTGCTGGATGTAGAATTCTTGGTTGACGGTGTTTACTTTTGGTGCTTCAACTATGTAATCCAGCTGTTGTCTGCCCTCCATGGTTTCTGATGAAAATATTTCTTACGTACGTCTTGTATGCAATGAGTCACTTCTCTCTTACTGCTTTCAACAGTTTTATTATAGCATGCCTAGGTGTGGGATTTCATCTTTTTTGGGGGGGTTGGGAGGTGCGGAGACAAAGTCTTATGGTCTCACTCTGTTGTCCAGACTGGAATGCAGTGGCACAAAGATGGCTCCCTGCAGCCTAGAATTCCTGGGCTCAAGCAATCCTCCCACCTCAGCCTCCTGAATAGCTGGAACTAGAGGCACACACCACCACTCCTGGCTAATTTTTGTATTTTTAGTAGAGACGTGGTTTCACCATGCTGCCCAGGTTGGTCTCAAACTCCTCAGCTCAAGGGATCCACCTGCCTCAGCCACCCAAAGTGCTGGGATTATAGGTGTAAGCCACCATACCCAGCCTGAGTTTATCTTATTTTGAGTTCGTTGAGCTTCTTGGATGTTAAATTAATGGTTTTTTAATCAAATTGGGGTTTGGGGCCATTATTTCCTCCAATATTTTTCTGCCCTTCCTGTGTCTGTCTTCATTCTGGGATTGTATTGTATTTATGCTAGTGTTTATGTTGGTCCCACTTGGTGGTGTTCAACAGGTGTCTTAGTCTCTGTTCATTTTCCTTCATTTTTTTTCTTTCTGCTCTTCAGACTGAATAATAACCTTTAAGTTCACTAATTATTCCTTCTGCTTACTCAAATCTTCTTTTGAAACTTTCTGGTAAATGTGTCATTTCAAATTATTGTACTTTTTAACTCCAGATTTTCTATTTGTTTCCTTTCTATAATTTCTACCTCTTTGTTGACATTGTCTCTGGTGAGAGATCCTCTTGGTTTCCTTTATTTCTTTGTGTATAGTTTTCTTTAGCTCTTTGTGCGTATTTAAAACAATTGATTTGGGAACATCACACACTGGGGCCTATCACGGGGAGAGGGGAGAGGGGAGAGGGGAGGGATTGCATTGGGAGTTATACCTGATGTAAATGACGAGTTGATGGGTGCTGACGAGTTGATGGGTACAGCACACCAACATGGCACAAGTATACATATGTAACAAACCTGCACGTTATGCACATGTACCTTAGAACTTAAAGTATAATAATAAAAAAAAACCAATTGATTTAAAGTCTTCATCTACTAAGTTCAACATCAGGGCTTCCTCAGAGACAGTTCCTATTAATTGCTATTGTTCCCTTTCTATAAAGCTATATTTCATGTTTTTTGCATGTGTCATAATTTTTGTTGAAAACTAGACATTTTAAATAATATTGCAAGGGCTTTTAAGTCTAGTCTGGTGAAACAGAACACAAGTCAGGCGAAGCAGATTTTATTACTCACA